GCCTTTTCTGTGTTTTCTTTTTTGAGGCTGATTTTTTAGACAATATATGTATCAGGATATTGGATTACAATATTTTACTCAGATTAAGTATATACAGAGGGTTTTCAAGCTCAGGGACCAAGTAATATAGCTGGTTGGCTGGATGAACACACTTAAGACTTGATTTGGTTTTGAAGATATTTTTCCTTTTTTGATTTGTGCTGAAAGTGTAAGAGCGCTGTCTGGAAATTCATTTTGAGCAAACAAGACAGAACCGCTGTTTCCTCCCACAGTCCTTTAACGTCAGCGAATATCTCTAGTTGCACTTCATTCACAGACACAAACAAATAGGGATGTTCTTTGCTTGACTGCAAATACTAGAGCAAATACCTTTTTTGTGTGTGTACTTCTTCACACCACAACACATGACACTTTGTATCTTGAAGCATGATGATGAAGTACTGGGCTGTAGGGCTGTGTTCAGGGTTGTCGAGGTTAGTGGATGTTTGTCGTTGATATTGTAGTGCGTTGTCCTTGTTCTACTACTAAACTACGCTTTTTCATTTAAAGCCTGACATATTAAAGGGATAGTTCACCCAAAAATGAAAATTCTGTCATTAATTACCCTCATGTTTTTTTTTTCAAACCCGTAAGACCTTCGTTCATCTTCAGAACACAAATTAAGATATTTTTGATGAAATCAGAAATCTTTCTGATCCTGCATAGACAGCAAGGGAACTACCAAGTTCAAGGCCCGGAAAGGTAGTTAGGACATTGTTAAAATAGTCCATGTGACATCAGTGGTTCAACCGTAATTTTAAAAAGCTATGAGCTATAAAGCTATAATTCTTTTTGTGCTCAAAGAAAACAAAAATAACAACTTTATTCAACAATTCGTCTCCTCCGTGTCACCCTATAGCGCCAATTTTGGAGAGTATCCACTGAACTTGTTTACGCTTTGATCCGAACGTAAAAACGTATCCGTGTACATACGTTGCATACATTGTTTACGTATGTGATACTCTCCAGAATGGCGCTATAGGGTGACGCGGAGGAGATGAATTGTTGAATAAAGTCGTTATTTTTGTTTTCTTTGCGCACAAAAAGTATTCTCGTAGCTTTGTAAAATTACAGTTGAACCACTGATGTCACATGGATTATTTTAACGATGTCCTTGCTACGTTTCTGAGCCTTCATCATGCTAGGACCCTTGCTGTCTATGGGAGGGTAAGAGAGCTCTCGGAATTCATCAAACATATCTTATTTTGTGTTCCGAAGATGAACGAAGGTCTTACAGGTTTGGAACGACATGAGGGTGAGTAATTAATGACTAAGTGAACTAGATAGGTCATCCAAAAATGAAAATTACCCCATGATTTACTCACCCTTAAGCCATCCTAGGTGTATATTACTTTCTTCTTTCAGATGAATACAATCGGAGTTATATAAAAAAAAATCTCCTTGCTCTTTCAAGCTTTATAATGGCAGTAAATGGGATTTAAGATTTCATCCATCATAAAAAGTGCTCCACACAGCTCTGAGGGGTTAATGAAAGCCTTCTGAAGCGAAGCGATGCATTTGTGTAAGAAAAATATCTGTATTTTAATTTTTATAAACCGTAATCTCTAGCTTCCGCTAACTGTCGTACGCGTGTACACGAGAGAGTGGCATTTCAGCGGATCAACTGCATTTGTGTGTATTCATTTGTGCATTTTCAATAGATCAACCGCAGAACTTTCCACTCCCATTGGCGCTTTTATGCGATTTGCACGTTCTCGCGCTAATTTGCCCTATTTTGTAAAGCTGGCCCTTTAACTTAAATATGAATACCTTTTATGCCTTAGAGTTGAAAATAAAAAGGTGAGGTAAAGTTTCAAGTTTGATATAAAGTCTAAATTAAAGTTGTAATTATTAGAAAAAAACCCACATCGTAAGAAATGGTCACGTTTATGAGAAATATTCATTTAAAGTTGGTTATTTCTCGCAATTTTAAGATGTAATGTCGCAACTGTGAGATTTAAAGTCATAATTTTTTATTTTGTTAATCTAAGGTGGAACTGGTTTATTATCTGAGAGTATCTGAGGTGAATGTTTATGTCCATACTTTTGTTTTCAAGAAAATCTCACTTCCCATTTTCTTAGGAAATGGAACCATAGATTTCCCAGAGTTCTTGACGATGATGGCCAGGAAAATGAAGGACACAGACAGCGAGGAAGAGATTCGCGAGGCTTTTCGGGTATTTGACAAGGTATGTTTGAGCTGTAACTACTTCACTTGGCTGTTTATTACAGGCAAAATTGACTCCAAATTGAGTCACAGCAGTGATGCCGACATTTTCCCGCCCTTTTTGTGGCTGACATTCAGTTTTTCTCTTCAGGATGGTAATGGCTACATCAGTGCTGCAGAGTTGCGTCACGTCATGACAAACCTCGGCGAGAAGCTGACAGATGAAGAGGTTGATGAGATGATCAGAGAAGCCGACATAGATGGTGATGGTCAGGTGAACTATGAAGGTAAGTTGCTTACTTTTCAGTGCCCACTTTTTCTCCATTTAGTCGTCTTTTTATCTCAAAGTCACCATCTGGCAACTCAACTATATTACTTCAACAAATATATCACATAAAGATGATGTAGTAAGTATTATTATTGAAAAAAAAATATTTATACAAAAACAACAGAATCAATCAATTTTTCTGACAAATGGTCAAAAAGACTCGAATCAGTCTTAATGATTCATTCACTCAGTGAATTGGTCAGTTCAGAGTCTTAAAGGGGTCATATGATGCTTTTTTAAAGATCATTATTACCCTTTAAATTCCATTAGATTCTCATCTCTGGTACTTTATTCATGTCCATGTTGGAATGACCTACAGTGTCTTTTACTATTAATTTATCTGCATCAAAAACGGCTCACAGTTCCCAGAATGCACCATATTTGTACAGAGTGTATGTGTAAAAGGCCCCTTTTTGTTTTGCTGAAAACGGAGCCTCTTGATTAGACGCATATGAAAGCCATTCGGAAATGGGACGCTAATTACTGTGCGAATTCTGCTTTCACCTCTTGATTAAAAAATGTATAAACTATTGAACAATTTAGCAGCTGGCTGCACAGCGTGGCATTCGGCCAAAAGCAACTGCCTAATCTAATTTTCTCTCCATCTCTCCTCAGAATTTGTACAGATGATGACCGCAAAGTGAAACCGCCTCCTCCTGCCGTGCCCTCTTAGAAGAGAAGAAAAAATCAGTCAAATGTTTTACTTACCTCTTGGAAAAAAAAAAAGTTTATTTATTCATAATGTTTCTGGTTAAAAATAATTGAATGTTAAAATAAAGTATCCTTCTGTCCACACAGAAAATAATGGAAAAAGTTAAATATCTGCATGAAATGGTTAGTGATCCTGTCCCCAAAGATCAGTCTAGCATCAGTTATTCGAGAAAAATAACCTGTAACTACCTTCAAACTGAAGAAAAACAGCATTTGGTGAACTCCTTAAGTTCCATCTGCTCTTGATAAAGTTTGGGCTGGCCATCCTCCTTTTGTTCTCTCGTTTTTTCTGTTCTTCATGCATGCAGCTTGAGCACGGAGCTCATTCTCCAGCCAATCAGAGCGTGCTGAGTCCACTGAAGTGTTGTATTGCGGGGTTTTGTAATTTAAGAGGAACCGCAAGTAGAAAGAAAGAAATGGGGCTTTAGTGTATTGTGGGGGATAAAAAGTAAAAATCAAAAAACAAAACAAAAATTCAAAAACAACAAAAAGTAGAAACTGTTTGGCATGATTTTGTTTTTATTTTTTTTCCTATTGTTTAGTTTTGTTTTAATGACTTGCTTTTTCTGGACGGCCGTCTCGCACCAGGATGGAGATGATGGAGGGATGTTTGGAGGAGTGTGGCTGAGCCTTCACTTTTCTGGCCTCTGTTTCAGTGAATTCTCCCCTGCACCGCTTCTGCTGTGGGAGTTTGCACTCCACTCTTCAGTTTGCATTCATTCCAAGTTGTACATGCTACTGTTTTAATATTTTCTTCAAATAAAGTGACCATGTACTTTACGACTACCATTCTTGTTCAGTTGTTCCTTCTCAAACCATCGTGTGTCCGTTAAGTGAGGTAAGATCAGGGTTTTCTTCTCAGTCTCATCCATCCCGATGGAGCTCAGATAGATCAGGGACAGCACTAGACCACCTGTGTTCCAGCTAAATTACAGCTTCCTGTTGAGACGAAGCCATCAAACATTTAATAACCCAATCAACCGGCTCCTCTAGAAGTTTTCTCGAGAGTCGTTTTACAACTGGATTCTCTCAGCTTCAGATATTTATGCAGATATCGGTGATTTTCTTCAGAATCGACCTGCATAATGCAAAGCTCCTAGTCTTAACTGCCGCCCACCCAAGACGCAGGAGAGATTCTCACTCGCCAGACCCGCACATTTTGACATCTGAGCTGCCCCTGGAGTTAAATTAGGTGTATCAATATTTCACGTGAAAATGAGGCAGCGCTGGTGCCATAGCAGTAAGAGGAGAGCAGGATTTACCGGCCTCACCCTCCACCGCCCAACAACACTGAACCCAAAACACTATCAGATTACACAAAACAATGCAGAAACTTTGATATATTTTGTTATGAAAAAGATTACTTAAACACAAGATGTCTTGAACAACTCAATTTGGAAACAATAATTTTACAATAACGGGTGATTTTTTTTTAAAAGATGTGGATCTCCATTGAAGAAAATAATATTAATAATACTAACTGAAAAATTGAATTTTATAGGGGTGTGGCTCTCCATTGAAAACAATAATATTATTAGTAATAACAACAACAACAACTGAAAAATAGCATTTTATTCAGTAACCTTTTTTTTTTCAGTAACCAGTTAAAAAAAAACTTGCATTTTTGACTTCCTACATGACTATAAAAATAATTATTAATGTAATGATTTTTATTGTTAATATATTTATATAATATTAATATATAATTATTCATATTAACACATACATATTAATATGTAACTAAAATATGAAATAATAATATGGATAATAATAGCCGATGAAATGTGGATTTCAGAGTGAAGCTTGGCACTGTGTTCATTTGACATGTGAAGCTCATGATAAAGTGTTTCAGTTTCTCAAATCAGTCCAAATAAACATCGCAGACTTTGCAATTTGATAATCACACTAAAGCCAACTTCTCACCAGTAAATTGCCCTAAAATGACTGGAAGGAATTTACCGGTAAACAAAAAAGCACTGTTCCCTCAGGCTACGACGTTGCGTCTTTTTACCGGTAAAGCACCATCATCACACATCAGCTTCAAAATACCGGTAAATTCAGTGACATCATTAACCAGAAATGACCTCTAAACAGCTGCCGTTAAATGGAGGGGTATATGCGGTCAGTGTTTATGTTGGTTTTAATTTTTGTGTCAAATGTTCACATTTACACAGCTGCTTTTGGCCCAGAGAAATCGTATTAGACGACTTTAGACATTTCTTTCGCTTCCGTAAACAGCACAGAGTAAATGCGTCATCTGCCTCGGAATGTTATGATTGGCCCAGAGTTGATCATCTTATGTCAGCGCGTTCTGAGCTCTTATACGTGCTTTTACCGGTAATCTCGTTCTGTGTTCACACAGAGCACATTACCGGTAATTTACTGGTAATGTTACAACTTCTCATACTTTTTGAAAAGGTCCTGTTCACACATGAACTGTAATTTACCAGTAAAGACTGTATTTGTAAAAGGGGCTAATGATTTTATTTTGAGATATTGTCCAGCCCTAACTCAGAGTAAACTAGCTGTGCTAGCACTTTTAGCACATGCTAGCACAAAAGCTGTGTAACACATTTTAAATGGGTAAAAATGAATGGCTTCTTTTAGTCTTTGAGGCCATCCATATCAGTGGTTTTAAAATTGTTGGTCACTAAGAGGAAATAAGTGGTTCATTGCAAAGTATGAGGATGTCATGAAAGAAATGTGAAAAAACCACTAGTTCGTTGGTGGGCATAACTACATTTTTGTCACATAATGCACCACAAGTATGTTGCAGATCACATCAGTGTTTCTTGCAGCGCTTTATCCATTGGCTGAAAGGTCTTTTAATGGAGCGTTCTATGGATTTAATTGATTATTACAGGTGCCGCATCCTGTTTTTGGTTACAGATGGCAGTTTTGTCACTCGTAATTACGGTAATTGTAACATGGAGGTCACCTCAATAAAATCAGTAGCATTTGGCTAGTCATGTGATCTCAACATCTCATCTAGACTGAGTCGGCCACATTTATTGTTGCAATTTATGTGCAACATCCCTTGATGAAATATCAAAGTAACCTTTAACAGCTGTTCCTGTGGTAATGACTTCCTCCTCCTGTCTGATATCAGATCAGTGTTTCTGAAGCTTTCTATTGCAAAAATTGCCAGTTTCTTTTGTATTATGATGACATCCAGCTACATGATAACATTTATATAAGATAAGAGATACAGATACAGTCCTCTGAATCTGACATCAAATTCCTATATATCTGCACCTGTATGTCACTCATCTGCTGTGCTTGAATATTTGGACACTTGAAGACACACTTAAAGAGACAGTAATGCTCAAATTTACCCAAAGAAGATATTTTGAAGAATGTTGGTAGCTAAATGGTTTTGGGCACCATTGACTTCCCTATTGACAAAAATTACTATTGAAGTCAATGGGACTTGATACTGTTTGGTTACCAACATTCTTCAAAATAATTTATTTTGTGGTCTACAGAAGAAAGAAAGTCATAGAGATTTGGAACGACATGAGGGTGAATAATTGATGACAGTTTTCATTTTTTGGGTGAACTACTCCTTTTTAAAGTATGAATTTAAAAGGCACCTATTATTCCCCTTTTGACAAGATGTAATATTGGTCTTGGGTGTCCCCACTCCCCAGAATGTGTCTGTGAAGTTTAAGCTCAAAATACCCCACAGATTATTTAATATAACATATGGAAAATGGTCATGTCATTTTTGGGGCGTGTCTAAAAAAAGAGCTGTTTTGGTGCGTATCACTTTAAATGCAAATGAGCTGCATATTCCCGCCCCATCTCCAGAAGAAGGCGTAGCTTATATGTCTCTGCTTTGCATACCTACAACAATAAACAGCCGGTAGAAGCAACATAACTGACCGGTGTTCAGATGTACATTAGGGAAGCCAAACACACCGAAAGTGGGACGAAACAGCTCGATGTTACAGAGGCTCAATACACCGAGCTGCGCGACCGACTCAACAGGGTGTTTGCTAGTGCCACCGAACAAACAGCGTAACACGAACTAATCTCACCAGCGCAGCGCTGATCAGTTACAATACTTTGATAACGTACGCACACAAACACGGTTAAAACGTTAGCTAAGCACTATAACGACATGACATTCACAAAGCGGTCTGGAGGGAAATAATTTGAGCAGACATAAATGTATTTAGGTAGATTTTGAGGTGCATTACCTTCAAAAATAAAAGTAACCCACTGTCTTACATCCAAACAGAGCACCGGGATTGCTTACACGACATTGTTGATGTTACAGCTGCTCGAGTGCGGAGAAAATGGAGGACAGCGTACAACCAAAGACAACTCGCTGAGGGCGGAAACTACGGTATTGCTGGACTGTCAGTCAACAGCCATGGGCGGGGCCAAAGCAATGTGAAGTCATATTGCTCAGAGAATCAAAACGGCAGACTGTTTTGTTTTAATGGTGATTTAAAAATATGGAGTGGGTGGATTTTTATCATTGTAGGGTGGTTGTGTTCTCACACTGCCAACACACATTTATGCCCAAACACCATGTAAAAGTGGATTTTGCATAACTGGTGCCCTTAATTCCAGTATGTCAAAACATCAAACTAAAGGCCCATTCACACGAAGAATCATAACTATAAAGATAACTATAACAATATCAACACCCACACCGGTGTACAATAACGATCTGTTTATTATAATTATAAGCTTGAGCTGCAGTTTTGTCATCTGTCGCTTTAAATGCTCAAGCTCTTTAAAGAAGGATGGATTCTGATTGGCTGTCAATGTTTTTATTGTTCTTTTTGGCTTAAAAATATCATTCTGAAAGTGATTCCAATTATATAATTTCTTTGTGCTGTTTTCATACACTGTAAAAAATGACCGTGAATTTAACGGTAAAAGACTGTAAAAATACTACATTAAAAAGCTGTTAAATGGTTAACGGTAAATTCCCCTACTATATAAGGTGAAAAACTGTATTGGACATTACATGTACTACTGTAGTATACCGTTTTTGGAAGTGGAAAAAGTATAATTTACAGTGAATAACGTAAATTTACAGTAATAACGTAAACGGTAAAATTCCAGCAAACACAGCTGCCATTTTTTTACCATAAGTTTTACGGAATTGTTTTTTTTACAGTGTAGTTTTGGTTTGGACTCTGCTATCCTTTTAAATTTAGAATAATTTCTCAAACTGTTCTCATTATAGTTATAGTTTATTGGTGTGAACGGGCGATAAGAGTTGTCTTTGAACTAACTATCTTCATTTTTCTTATGCATCATTGAATCTGTATGTTGGCTGTGAGCAGGGAGGAAGCTGTAGAAACTGTCAGAGAGAAACCCACAGACACACCGAGACACTAACATCGGCATAAGGATTAAGAAGCCTGAAGGCTGTTTCTTACATAACACTGCTGACAGG